TCATGTTAAATTACTAAAATGTTTATTTAATTTAATTATTATTATTATTATTATTATTATTATTATTAATGCAGTTTTAAGAAAATTCTATTGTACGAATGTATAGAGACAACTCATGAATACAGCTGAAGTTGTATAGTTGAATAAGCCATAATATAAAGTATACATTTTGCAGATGAATAACTGTTCTCCCCCAGTAGCACTTGCATGTGATCTTTTTCAGGCAATTTAGGAACATCTCTCTCTGTCTCACTCTCAGCAAATAACTGTTTAACTGTCTGACAGCAAGCAAAGTGAAAAGAGCATGGGTCAAAAACTCGCTAAAAAGCCAGAGTTTGATTTTTACAAGTAAAATGGTAAATGTCACCACCAACAAGCTCCACGAGACTCTCGCTGTAACGTGACTGAGCAGAACTCCAGGATACATTCATAATATAAAAGTGTTTTAAGAATATAAAGTCTGTTGTATTGTGTCTATCATAAATATACTACAATACAGACTCCCTGAATCTTTTAGAACATTGTCCACCACGGAGAAGAGTAACATTTGATTTTAATACTGAATAGAGCATTACGTGCTGTTTAGCAGGCAAAAGCAAATTATCTTGCTTCGTTTAGAAATAGCTAAATTATATATAATTTGTGTTATTGTGTGAGGCTGTGGATTAGAGAGGACTGTGTGTGTGTGTGTGTGTGTGTGTGTGTGTGTGTGTGTGTGTGTGTGTGTGTGTGTGTGTGTGTGTGTGTGTACATGCTTGTGTGGCCAGTATGACCTTATTAGCGGTTTAGAGAGATGTGTGAACTAAGTCTTAGAAGACCACCAACAGTGAACCCATCAGAGCCCAGCAATCAATATAGACACACACACATGTACACACACAGCACTCATGCAGAGTGCCGATTGCTCCCTTTCATCAGCCTACGTCATAAATATCAAAGCTGTCAGTCTCAACCGGGTATGACAGCATCGCATGCATGCACCCACACTGCCACTTTAACAAGGAGAGTGAGGCCATGCCCTTCCGGTGCAGACATCAAGGCCTTTAAATAGATTTCTCCTATCTTTTATAAACTATAATTGGCCTTTTTAAAGCCAATGGTTCACAAACAGCAGGTTGAAGTGCCAAATCTGTATCCTGAAGCAACACTAGTGGAAAAAACACTCCCCTAATCTTTGATATAAATGCAAAGCGACTGGAAAATATCTGTGTGCTTACGGTATTTTTCAATTGGATACACACTACTGTAGCCATACACCAAGGCATCATTGCTCATGCTAATGTGCTGGAAACAAATACAATTTCTGCAAAACTGTTGACATGTTCTTGCAGTTCTGGTGCACTGTTCAAAACTCCATGCACAACTTTGTGCTCATTTCTCATTGAGAGTCCTTAAAAGACAATGACAATGCAGATTAAGACATCTCACTTATACAAACACAACCAAAATGATACTTATATCCATTGTCTTAAATATCTATAAGTTATTGCTTAGTGAAATAAAAAAGAAGAAAAGGAACAAGCAAGAGCACAAGGAGGAAGAAGAGGCTGAAAACAGTTTTTAATACAAATTCTTCACAGCTCATTTTAAAATAATAATAATAATAATAATATACTAAACAATGTTTCTTTTTCAAGTTACACCATCTAGACATCTGTTTTTTACTTTAATGCAAACAAATAACCTTTTTTAATGTCTTAAAAATAAAATAAAAATGAACAAACATATAAATAATGACCTTGATAGATCAATCAACTTTTTCCCTCTATTGGCCCCTGCATGACTGTATTAAAATATAATAACTTTAAAGCACCAAACTGCCTTAAAGATAACAATATTGTTCCTTTTTCTTTCAAAATATTATAACAGTAATGCTTTAATTTGATATAGACCTTAATCAGGTTAAACTCCAATTTAACACAGATGGAAACCAGGCTGCGAGGAATAGACAAAGTTTTTACAATGTGACAATATAAAAGTCCTAGATCACAATTTTCACAACTTTAAAAACTTTTTTTTGAAAGACATTTCATCAGCTGAGTATGTTTTTAAACAACAGCACAATCCATATTGTACAATATCCCTCATAGCCTCGTTTTCATTCCTATCAAAAATTAAATATGATGCTACCCCGACTAAGGTCTATTGCTCTTTGTCTGTTTTCGCTATAACTAAAATCCTTTTTTTTCCATTTGTTGCTAAATGTCCCTTTTTGTGTGATTCTTACTGGATCACTTGGTTCTGACTGCTGTGCGTAAAGACTCAATCTTGTCACATACAGAATAAAATGAAATAAAAATAGTTAAGTAAATGCATCCTAAGCAGAGCAACAAGAACAGTATATTCTCAGCAAATAGCAAATAAGTTCTCAGTGTTTTATAAGATTTGTGTGTATTTTGAGGAAACTAATTATTTTATGAAACGTGGGTATCCAATTAAAATATACTTTAAAACACACAAGAATGTCACATTATACAAGAAATCTTTCAGCTGACCATTTGTGTTACAAGTAGTTACTAAACCGGACTAAGTCCCATGAACCTGAACCACAAAAGCACCCATATATCTGCTCTCTTCACCTCCCCCTTTCTCACCATATTCACTAAATGCCCCTCTGGGGTAACATCAGCACTGTTACTGTGTGCCTGAGCCACATCCTTCTGCTCCAGCGCACATTCTGTTCATAAACCTCATACATAAACAACATCAGTCGTGGCTTGTGATGGACCACAAGGCACATTTTTGTTGTGTTCTTGGGCTGGATGAATTTCTTAACATCAGAGAAGTGATGCTTCCAAATGCACACTAGGAACAGTGTCACATTGTCTGGTTTCATTATGTTGTGGTGCAATTTTTAATGTTAAGAGCCTCTCTGGGGTGAAAGTGTTTACTCCATAGACTGTATAAAAACATGGACGTAGTGTCCGTGACGTCACCCGTAGGCTTCTGACGAGCGGTTTTGAAGCTCAAAGTGGGCGGAGCCGGCCGTCGCCATCTTGGCAGCGCGTCACTCCCAGATAATCGAAAATGGGCAAAGAGGCGGGAGCTGGTTGCTGAAACCACACCCACCTAGCTCGATGCCGGTGACAGCAGCGGCAATCCACCTGTCACTCAAGTGGCCACGCCCTTAATTATGCAGAACATTAAGGCTTAATATAATTTTAAATTTCAATTTTTCCTTTCTCTTTGGAGTGTTACAAGCTCTTGGTGCATAAAGATCTGTAAAGTTGCAAACACTAAAGTCTTAAAACCAAAGAGATATTCTTTATAAAAGTTAAGAGTCAACCACGCCTAACTAAAAAGCCTTGTTCTAACACGCCCCCACATATCTACATCACTATGTGGAAATATTAGCATAATGCCGCCCAAAATGTTCACGCAAAGAAAGAAGGCGTGGTTTCAGGAACCGCAGTAGTGTTGATGCAGCCATGTCAGGGAGACGCTGTGTGTTTCAGTGCTAAAGCAAAAGCACTTTATTTGGCCTTCCGGAAGTAGATGCAATTAGGAATCATTGGTTAAGATTTATTTAAAAAATTTTTCTGCTGTAAAGTTGGGTATTTTAACATGGGGAGTCTATGGGTCTGACTCCCTTTTGGAGCCAGCCTCTAGCGGCCAGTCGAGTAATTACAGTGTTGGCTTTACGAGAGAGAGCGGGAGGTTGCCGCTTGGTTTACTCTCAGGGTAAGGTCTTTCATTCTCAGGGCCTGCAGTACATGCTTGGCGTCTTACATCAGTGGCATTGATGGCGGTATAATGTGAAAGGTTTTAAAAGTGACATAAAAGTCTCACAACAAAAAGGCTGTGTGAAATGCTATGTTTAAGTCTTTCTGAAGTTGTTCAGAGTTCGGAAATCACTGTTACAACGTGTTGTGCGTAATATGGTTCGGGAATAAAGGGGCCATAACAAAAAGAACAATCCACATTAGATGTGCAATTGAGTGTATTTTATCATCTGCTACGGAGAATGATGGAAAACGTAGTTTGGTAGTTTCACACAATGTAATTTCACACAAGCCTGCTAGATGAGGAGCAGGCATATTATAGTCAAGTAAAACTAGAACCATAAAAACCATTTTCTTTACTTGAAATAAAATCAATGGTAACTAAATAAATGTTACAAATATATATTATTTCTGCTAGCTACCAAGGCAACATTTCTCATTTTTATTTTAACTTGATATACTAGGCGTAAAATAAAAATTAATACACTATATAGACATACTCATACTTAAAAAAAAAAAAAAAAAAAAAAAAAAAAAAAACAAAAAAAAAAAAAGTGTGTATATATATATATATATATATATATATACACAAACAAAGAAAAACAAGTAGAATAGAAAGCTAGAGTTTTTTTTTTTTTTTTTTTTTTAAAAAAAAAAAAAAAAAAAAAAAAAAAAAACTAATCACAAAGACAATAACACAACAAAATTACTAAAACTTTAAGATTAAAATGAAAAAATATATATATAATAAAAAAAAAAAAATCAACATCCATCAACACTACACAAACTAAAATGTTTCGCAATTACAATGCATGTCTTTATGGTGTTCATTTGCATTCCAACATGATTTTAACAGTGAGCTACCTACACTTTTTTTGTTTTTACGAAAAAAACTCAAGAAATGTCTCAATGACAGAGAAAGAAACTTTTTGGAGGAGTCTGTCTGCATTTATCTTTTGCATGGGTTATTGATGCAAAGTTCCATTTTCTATTTATTCTTTCACTTTTTTCCCAGAAGCTTTTATGCAAAGAAACTTTCAATCAAGGTTTATGTTGTATTCAAGGTTCATACATTTGATCAATATGCCTGTTCTGTGGGAATCAATCACATGACCTTGCCATTGCTAAAGCCATGCTCTCCAATTGAGCTACAGGAACAATAATCATTTATGTATACTGACATGCAATGGAAATTTCTTCCACTAATAGTGAACTAACAGTGTTCTACAGAATCAATACAATCATTCAATAAACAAAGAAAAAAAACTATAAAATTACCTGATTTCCATGTTTTAAAATGTCGTAATGCCACAATACAAGCACACAGGCAAACAGAAATGAACAAACATAACATGCCACAGGCGTGGAAGACTAAATATAAACAGACATCTTGAGAACAATAACTATGAAAATACATATTCCCTCTCTCCCCCAAACTGGCTGGCCAACTGGTGTTTTAAAACCTTGCTTTCACACCAAAACAGCTGTCAGTAATTGGCAGCGGTAAAGACAGAAGCTCTCTCATTGGTGGAGGTGGCAGAGTGTGGCCAGGCCAATTAGAGAGTTATCAGTTCTTTCATTTCATTTCATTGGACACACTCCCAGCTTTCTATCTAGAGAGCAGTAAAAAACATGCAACAAATGGTTCAGAATAGTACACTGCTATACTCTCAGAAAAAGAGTACAAAGCTGTCACTGGGATGGTACAAAACCTAAAAGGTAAATTTTGTACCTTATTTACACCTAAATAGTACCTTAAACTTACATAGTAGTACTTTAGGATTACATATTAGTTTCTAAAGTTTTTCCCTTTTTTTTCTAGTGTACACACTTTTTTGCAGTATGCAAATATATGCTCAGAATGACATTTATCAAAATGTGCAGAATATAACCAGAGCACATAATCAAACATTCATTATTTATTTTTTCTGGATGCCACCTATTGAATTTAACATGTATGTAATGAGATCATACAGCATACTAGCATACTGCTGTTTGGAATGCACTCTGTGTAACATCAATGCATAATGCAAGTTGTTTAATATATAATTTACAGTGTTTATAGCCACTGAGTGCTAAATATCCAATTAAATACCCCAGAAGAGATGACCATCTCTGGATATTTGTACTTTATAGACATATTTTATGCACACTCTAAAGGCATGCACAATGGCAGCAAGCAGACTGCAGGGTTAAAAAAAAAAATAAATGCAGTCTGCATGACTGGCATTTTGTTTTTTTTTATATCTGATTTGCATAAAATATTTTGGGTTAAATATTATTTTCTTCAGTGCTAAAATGACAGAACTGTTTTACATGGATCAAAAATTAAAAACATACAAAGTCACACTCATCACCCAGACAGGCTGCAGCAGTACGATACTGATCATACGAGTGACAGCAGGTAAAGGGCATCTGTGTCTCAGCATCAGAGAAAATGCATCCGAGACTTTATATCTGTAATTTGCAGGAATAACATGACACATTTATGACAAAACTGTATGTATGTTAACTAACACAATTCAAATCCTTCAAACAACTGGTTCATTGACTAAACAACAGATGGAATGGGTCATATATACACTACTGTTCAAAAACTTGGGATCAGTAAGATTTTAAGAAGTCTCTTATGCTCACCAAGGCTGCATTTATTTGATCATAAATTCAGTCGAAACAGTAATAATGTGAGAAATAATGTTTTTAATTTTAATATCTTTTAAGATTAATTTTCAGTCATCAGTGTCACATTCAGAAACCATTCAGATATGCTAAATGGTATCAAAGTTTAAAAGATAAAAGTTCAAACAAACAGCATCTGTTTGAAATGATGCAGAAGTCTTTACTATCATATTTAGTTTAATTTAATGCAGTTTTGCTAAAAAAAAAAGTATGAATTTCTTTAAAAAAATCACTATCACAAAAGAATTGTTTACCCAAAAATGTAATTTTTCTCTCCTATTCATTTCATTCAACTATTCATTTAATGTCAGACATAAATGATAAAACTAAACTAATAAACAAAATTAATAAAGAGCTGCTTTACAGCAGAATTGTGATTTGTCTCATATTTGACGTTTGCATCTCTTACTCTCCTGTTTAAATTAGATGAAACTGCTTTGAAACAATCTTTATTGTATAAAGTGCTATAAAAAATAAACGGTACTTTTTTTCATGTCTTACATAAAAATCTTGTACTGAAAATACAATAAGAAATGTGATTTCTGATTCAATGACCCATTTACTGCAGTACTATGTGTGTGTTCTCTTATTAGCATATGTTCAATGCTTTAATCCCTCCAAAGTAGTTTAGGCAACTCAGAATGTCATGTCTCGTTTATGTGCGCGAGTGATTTTCAGTGGTGTGGTGTCAGAGCTTGAACTGTTTCTGGCAGGTGACGTACCCTTTAGGGATTCCTCCTGAAGAGCACGTTTGATGTCGTGGTGTATGAAATGTTGGCATTTTACCTGTAAGCCTTTTCTTACCCTGTCTTTAAAGTTTCAAGGTAAAAGAACCATAAGTACAAAAGACAGAAAGACTAAGAGAGAGAGCTGTCAGAAAGATATGAGATAAACTATAATCAATCACAACCTCTAACCGTCTTGTCCGTACGGCCAAGGTTGGCTCATAAAATACAGGTTTTCATAGCCGCGGACATTGAGCGACTGTGATTCCTTTACATTTTGTTCTCCATAAAACGGAAATTTTACTGGTGCATTTATGCATTAGGACATCCGTCTTTTATTTACACTCTTCACTTCAAGGCATCGTCAAAAACTGGCAGGAAATTTGGGTCGATATAAAGCAACGCAACTTTAAAGCTTTAAGTGTTGAGTTCACACACACACACACACACACATCTCCAGCTTATCTGAAAATACAGAGCAGAGAAATGTTCCATTAAGAAAAATAAACATGTCAGATTTGTACACGAGTCAACACGTACAAC